AAGGTTCAGGCAGCTCTGGGGGTCAGGGGCAGCACCCACAAGGGGTTTATGTACAAACCTATGTGATCAAGAATGCTCCAAGGCTGTATTTGCCTTTCCTCACACCCTGTGGACACCCTCCAAACAGCTCCTGAGCTGGGTTGAGATGGTGGAAGGACAATATGAGGGAAGGATGATATGAAGGAAGGTTGAGATGATGGAAGGACAAAGCCCTCTCTGCTTTTCTCTTAATTATAATTGTGTTAGAGCAGCACAAACTGATTTAAAAGCCCATTACAATGCACCTGTAATTGAAGGCTCAGGGCTCTCCATTTGCTCCCTCAAGGCAGAAAGCTTTGGAACACAGGAGAGGGAGAAGGCACAATGGAAGTGCCTGGCACTGCAGCAGCTGGAGCACTGTACCTGCTCCCAACTTGGCAGCTACAAACTTCTCTGCTGACAACCTGGAGGAGTCCTGAGCCTGATGTTGGGGTCCCTGCCTTATGCCTGATCCCAGCTGGCTTTGGCAGATGCCTCCATAGCTGGAGTGTGGTTGGACTCACAGCTTTGCTGCAAGCAGGGATAGGACACCCAGGACTCCCCCTCACTGACTCCCAGAGGCAGGACCCGTGTTAGCACACTCTGTAAAACACGAGGAAGTCTGTGTGTGACAGCAGTAAGAAGCTGTTATTAAAAGCAGGAGCAGCATCAGGCTGATGCTCAGGAAGCTGCCAGTGCACATCACAGATCGCCCGCAGAACGCAAGTCTGAGTCTCCCTCGTTCTCTTTCTTCGAGACACTTTTATAGTTGTTCTTTGTTGTTTCCTTTGATCTGGAGCAGATGTTGCTCGTGCTGGAAGAAGGAGGTTTGCATGTTTTATGAAGGGGAAGCAGGCACTGCTAGGCTCACCAGGAAAGCCTGTTCACTCACAGGCTGTGCCAGGGGCTGTGAGCCCCTTCACTGGGGTGAGCACCTGCTCTGCTGCACTCCCACACCTAAAGGGGTTTGCATGTCTGGAAAGGTCACAGATGTGTTTCTACACTACTTGCTTAGCTCCCAAAAGTGGGTAGAAAGAAGGTGATTCAGGCAAAAGAATGCAGTTACTTCTTGAAGGGCATCCAGCTTGGTGAGGCTCATCTAAGAGCTCCTTCCCTGTCTCTGGTGGAGAGGTTGTTCCAGATCCACACTGCCCTCATCCTCCAGGGCATCCTCTCCTCTCACCTGCTGCATGGCTAAAATTTGGGGTGCCCTCAGCCCAGCCATGCTGAGAGGTGCATCAAGAGACAGTGATGGGGACACAGTACCAGGGAGAGGAAAGCCCAGGCAAGCAGCAAGTCCATGCAAGGAAGGTGGGTGAGGAGGTGCTGATGATAGGAGCAGCAGGGCCCGAGTAAGGAGGCAAAGCTGAGGATATTTAGGCAATTTGGGATGAGCTGTAAAAAGCAGCTGGAGGAGTAATCAGGGAAGGGCTCAGTCCTGCTGTGGGTGCCACGGGAGAGGCAGCAGAGAAGGTGTCATCATGCAAGGGGAGCCCTGCTGGACCCCCAGGACATGAAGATCTGTGTGCAGCGCTGCCGTGGGGTATCTGCATGGAGTGTGTGAGCTGCTGCACCTGTGCTGGCTCTGGAGCTGGTGTTTGGAGGTGAAAGCATAGCAGGCATGTAGTCTGTGCCAGTGGCAGGAGGGCGTCTGTGCACCAGGGAATATATCTGTGTAGGCAAGCGCATATGCTTGGCTCCGTAAAGACATATATCACCTGACTGAACACCCTCGAACGTGTAACGTGCCATATGGTTTGGTTAAATATTTAAGCAAGCTGCTTTCTGTCCCAGGGACTCCATGTGTGCGAGCAGGCACCACGGCAGGGTGAGCTGGGGGCATGCCCTGGGCACCTGTAGGAGGCTGAGAGCAGCCCAGAGACCTTCCCCATCAATAGGGGGGCAAGGGGAAAAAAAAAAAAAGGGAGTTGCATCACTAAACGACCAGTCTGCCTCTGGGGAAATCTGTGCTGTGTCACTGGAGCAGCTTGGCCAACACTGCCATGTTTAATCACTTCAGAGCAAGAGAGATGCTGAACACAAAAGGACTGCCCTCAAGGAGAGGGTTCCCGCCTGGGAAGCCTGCATTTACTTAGCTTTATTTATTTATTCGTTCCCAAAGGGGCACAGCTCCATCTGCATCCTGCATTCTGCATAGGAAATGTCTCCTCTGCCCCAGTGCTGCAGAAATGCCAACTGATGGTGAAAGTCCTTAAGTGCAGAGGGAATGGAAGCACTGGTGGTTGTGAAAGAATATTGAATATGTACTTGGGTCACTTATTTATTAAGGTTTCCCTCTCCAGTGTGGTAAAAGCCTTACAACATACCTGTTCAGTTGCCAGAAAGGCATTTGGAGTAGTTCATGTGGTTAATTTTTCAAAGGTTTCATTAGCATACAGTACCCACCCTGTTAAATCCTGCCACTGCACACTTAATTCCAGGGTTAGTTAACGGCATTGATGACGTTGCCACTCTGGTTTGCTTTCCAGATATTCCTGCTTCTCTCATTCCAGGTGGGCCACAGGGAATTGTCTCCCTGAGGCTCCCTGGGGCATGGTGGACTTTTTCCCTGGGGCACAAGTGAACCAAACTGCTTTTCATAGATTCCCAGACTGGTTTGTGTGGAAAGGGACCTTAGAGCCATGGGCAGGGACACCTTCCACTAGCCCAGGTTGCTCCAAGCTCCATCCAACCTCACCTTGAACACTTCCAGGGATGGAGCAGCCACAGTTCTCTGGGCAACCTGTGCCAGTGCCTCAACACCCTCATTATAAAAAACCTCTTATATCTATTGAAAATCAACCCTCAGTTTAAAGCTATTTCTCCTTGTCCTATCAATTAATCTGGAGTTTAATTTGTTTTAATTATGGGTAAGAATCTGGTCAGTTGATTCCATTACAGCCTGTTGTCTCTCAGCTGGGTCAGTGCAAACCCATCTGTGCCATCCTAGAGTCAGGGTGCAGTGTCTGACTTGATTTTTTTCCGGTAAGTCTCTGCAAAACAAGCTGAACTGGGTCGATGTGGATTCAGTAGTTAAAAACATCAGAAGGTTCCTCTGCCATGCAGTGAGCAGAGCATTAAAGATGATAGATACTGCTCTACTTTTGTCAGGACTTAGAGCTGGAAGCTATTGCTGCTTTGCAGATGATGGTGGGTGATCCACTGTGCCTCTTCCCACCTCTCCAAAATGACAGTGGTAATACCCCTTTGGCCTATTTTTGTTGTCCAGACTGTTAGCTCTGTGTTTTTTAAAGCACACATGGATTTCCTGGCTGGCAATCCCAGCCTTGCCAGGAGCACAGCAGGGCAATCAAGCACTGTTGTAATTAATTGCATCTCCTCAACAGACTACCTGGCTGTGGGCAGAGCATTCCCAGCTCTGGGCAGGCAGGTGATCCCAGGAGGAATATGCTGTCCCTTACGCTGGGCTTAATGACACTGATGCATATTAATATTTCTTTCAGTGTTGCCTTTGTGCCCTCCACTGTCCTGCCCCAGAGGCCCCCACTGTTTGGGAATGTCTGATCCATAGTTGTTCTCTGGTGCATGATTAGCAGATTAGCCATCGTGCCCAGAGCTGGCCAAAAAAAAAAAAAAAGAACTCCCAGAAGCCCTTCAAAACAGAGAATAATTCATTACCCACCTTGATTTCCACTTAAAATGTACTTTAACTACACTTCCAACTACAAACCCTAAATCACCATCATGTTCACAAAAAATCCATCATTTTTTATTTTATTGCACGGCACTGGCATGACATAATCCCTTCCAGAGCGTCTTGGAGTGCTTTACGGATCAATAAATTACTTACCTGCACAGCAGAGGCATTGCGTGCAAGGCCATTGCAGTCATTCCAGCTCGGAAGGTGTGGGAGGTGGGGAGAGGCAAGGAAAGGATGCTCAGCAGTGGGATCCAAGTCAGGAATAGGGTCTGGGCTGCAGCTCTGAGTAGGGTGATGAATGAAGCTCGCTCAGGAAGGGTGGAAGGAGCAGGATGCTTTGCAAGTGATTTGTGACTCTCCTGCGAAGCGCTGCAGTGGGTGCCAATCCTCTGCTAGGCTCTGGGGAAAGCCTGGAAATAAACCCAGGAAGGTGATGGTCTTTATTATGTTGTGCAGGTGCAGGCTGGTAACAGCAGCCAATCGTTTCTCCTCGTACAGCCCCACCAAAGAGCTCCTGGAAATTCCAACCGTTCCCAGCAGCCGCATTGCATCCTCCGCTCACGCAGCAACAGGGGCCAAGTGCTTCCTGAGTGCTTCTCATCCCTCATAGCCTCCTCAGCCCTTCCCAGTGTCCTTCCTCATCATCCTCCTTGAGCTGTACTCAGTGATCCCTGTGGGTCCCTTCTAACTCTGGTTGTTCTGTGATTCTGTGATCCCCTGTCCTGTACATGTGTCCTCTCCTTGGGTCTGCGTCTCTTGTGTCTGACCCTCTCCTGAGCGTTCAGGATGGCAGTGCCAGTGGGATGGCTTTCATCCCCATGGAATTTCCCTTCCTTTGCATGGTGGTAGACCTTAGAGGCTCCTCTATCGTCATGCCCAGCTCCTCTTTGTGCTCTTCTGTCTGCCAGGGCATGGCTGTGGAAGAGCTGCAGGAGTTTGAAGGGGGTGGATAGTGTTTGCTCGGGAGGGTGCAGCTCTGCTGGGAAGGGTTTGCCATGCCTTAGAGAACATGAGGAGTACTGGAAGTGTGGTAGGAAGAAGTACCATCTCACACACCACAGAGGTGCTGAGGGGGAGCTTCTCAAGCCTCCCTAAAATGACTGAATCCCCTCTGGCTACAATTTTTTCCCACTTCAGCCCTGTCTTCTCTGCCCCCTCTTTTTCCTGTGAATTGCTGTCAAGTCAGATGAGACTGATGGGCTACTGCATAGCTTCTTGAGGTGGAGGGAGGATCGAAATTCAGCCTCCTTCACCCACAGCTTAAGATTTGAGTCAGAGCAGAACTGGTTTCATTTTCCTTCTCCTCTTTGTGTCATTGCAGTGTCTCCGAAAATCACCGAGATCTCTTCTGACATCTCCATCAACGAGGGCGGCAACGTCAGCCTCACCTGCATAGCCACGGGCAGGCCAGATCCAACAATCACCTGGAGACACATCTCACCCAAAGGTAAGAGCCAAACACTACCAGAAATATTCTGAGAAGGGCACAGCACCATTTGCAAGCGGCTGAGGAGGCATCAGTGGGTGGTTCAGTTGCAAAGAGAAGGTGAAGTGCACTGAAAAGACGTGACTTAATGCAGGAGTCGATGACTTTGGTGGAGGAACATCCATTTGGTAGTCTGGAAGAGGAGCTTATGGTTTTGATTTTGTGGAGGATTGGCTGTAGGTGTTGTGTTGGGGTTGTTGTGCCTAGGAATTTGTAGAATCAGAATATCCTGAGCTGGAAGGGACCCACAAGGATCATGGGGCTCCTGCACAGGACACCTACGTTGCACATTGAATGTGTTTGGCTGTATTTTGAAAAGTTTTCAGGCAATTCTTACACATTGCTTCAAAGGAGGCTTGTAAATAGTGCAAATGAGCAGGAAAACACATGAAGCATTAATTGGTGGCCTTGTTAATTGGTAAGCAAAACCTCAGCAGAACTGTGTGGGTGTGACTGCTAAGAAGCAAATCCCCGTGCGTTCGGAGCGTAAAATTTCAAACCCCTTTTTGCCAGCTGCTTTTTTGGCGTTTGCTTTGCATTTTGCTGCCCTGACATTCCCAGGTGGATGAGAGGTTCTTGGGGGTGAGCTGAGGTTGAGGTCTGGGGGCTCTGGGTGGGATGAGCCATGCAGGATCTGATCCTCTGATCCCCTCTAAGTGATTCTGTTCCACCTCAGGCATTTTCCCCCTGAGGTTTTACCAACATGGGCTGTTGTTTCAGACAACTGCCTCGAGCTGCCCTCAGGGACACCCTGGCCAGGCTGAGAGGTTTTACCAACGTGGGCTGTTGCTTCAGACAACTGCCTCGAGTTGCCCTCAGGGACACCCTGGCCAGGCTGTGCTGCAGCTGAAGGAGACGGTGCCGGGGCGGCAGTGACGGGTGGCGCCGTGTCTGCTCCCCCTGCTCAGCTCCCTGACGATGGCTGCAGTGTCTCGCTGCAGCTCCATTGATTTTTTTTTTTTTTTGCTATTTGTCTGTGCTGTAGCAAAAGGCTGGGCCAGATCCATCACTCTCCAAAGCCCAGGCTGGGAGCAAGCTGAGTCAGTGACATCTCAGCCCTTTCCCTTGGTAGGATCCTCTGTATAAACCATTCTCCTCACTGCGTGTGTTGGCTTATCCACTGTAGGAGATCTTGTTTCCGAGATGGAGGCTTTGGTTGGAGTCTGTGCATGGAGAACTGATGAAATTCAGGGTGCAGATCCATGTGCTCCTTGCTGTCCCCAGACATCTCTCCATGGCATCAAAGTTGCTGTCACTGTATGTCACCATCAGACAGTTGAGGCAGTCCATGTGCTCCCATCTTGAAGCCTTCTCTTCCTCCTCATCCCCTTGTCTACCCTGACAACATGTTTTTGTTTTGCTCAGCCCCCTCACCGCCTGTTTTTCACATGCATCTTGTTCTCCCCACAGCTCCACTCTCTTTCCCACATCCCCTCCTGCTCCCCCAGGACTCTCCTCTCCCACTTCCATGCCCCTCACTGCCTTCTCCCACACACCATCCATCCTCTCCTAACCAGGCTCCCGGCTCCTGATGCCTCTGTCTTTCAGGAAGGCTATTTTCTATGTTTGCTGCCATCCAGCAGGTTTTTTCCCCCAGGGAATCTTTACCTGCGCTTGAACCAGATGTTTCCATTTTACTTAGGACTTAGCTGCTATGGAAACTGAGGATGCACCAGGAGAGGAAGAGTGAGCTAATCAGAAATTACCTGTGGCGCTGTGTAATTTGCAGCAGCAGCTCTTTCCTGATTTTGGCCATGATTAGGCATTCTGCTTTCAAAACTCAAAGGGAACAAATGATCACAGAGATTTACTTGAGCCTGGGTTCCTGCTG